GTCCAGGACAACTTTATCCGAACGGTTGACCCAGCTCCGGTCGATTCCCAGATACTTCTTCCCACTCCGTAGACTGTATGGCTCCTTGGTCAGACTATTGGGAAAGCCAGCGCTTCTCATTGCGCCAAGATCAGGTTGGGCCATGACTCGGTAGCTGATGGTGAGGTCATCAATGTTGCAAGCCATGGGACCGTAAACGACGACGCTGTCCAGCCAGTCTTTGCCGACTCTGGCTGAAACTCGGCCATGAGTAGTCTTGAGCCCGTAGATACCACAAAACGCAGCCGGCAAGCGAATTGACCCGCCACCGTCGACTCCGAGCGCAATTGGGCAAATGCCAGCTGCGACGACAAAGGCAGAGCCGCCCGAGCTGCCGCCAGTATAATAACCATTGTTGTGTGGATTCAACGGAGTGCCCCAGGTCTGATTGTTGTTGGAGGTGTCCAAGCCAACCTCATGCATGTTTGTCTTTCCAATGATCACAGCACCCGCCTCCTGCCATTTCTGCACGCACCATGATGTACGATCTTCTTTGTCGGTGAAATCAAGCTTGCTGCCCAGGGTCTTCTTGTATCCTGTCAGATCCACCTCATCTTTCACGGCCAACGGCACGCCGTCCAACACACTGAGCGGGTTGCCAGCTCGATATCGTTCGGTGGACGCTTTTGCAGCCGCCCGGACCAAGTCGACCTTGGAATCGATAAAGGCAACAGAGTACTGACCAGCAGGTTGGGTATCTCGCCGAATCAGGGGTATCAGGTACTCAATAACGTCTGAAGGGGTGACTTTGCCGGACTTGTACAATTTGTGGTAGTCTGCGCAAGTGTAGTAGTCCGTGTTGGAAGCGCGAGGACGAGGCGGCGGTAGCTCTGTCAGGCTCGGAACCGGGTCCTGCGAGGTAGTGGTGGATCGAGGCACGACTGTCGGATCAAGTCGAATCTCGTATTCATCTAGATATTTTGTGTCCTTGAGCTTGTCGAAGCCATTGAGTTTCCAGAAGACGCTCTGAATCCAGTTGGACGACGCGATGCTTCAGAAACGTCTTAGCCGCAGGGTGCAACAAAGGACAATAAAACAGTGTGTCACCCATACATCTTGGAAACGGCAGCCAAGGGAAACCCTCGAAGCACAGGATTTGAGCCTGTGTCGTTCTTGTAGGGGACGTCGGGACCTCGACGGATCTGTGGACGAAGGAAGAATGTGTTCGCGTAAACTGCCTGATCTGGCATTTCGACTGATGCGCCCCGGGTTCAAGGTTCAAGAAGACACCTGAGGAGGGAGGTGGTGGTGGCTCGTAGCAGGTTCATGGGAAGAGGAAAGTGGAAGAAAAGGGGATGTACATGTTTGACATGGGTATTGTCCATGCTTCTTCCTTCGCGCATTAGAGCCGGATACGGACACGATTACTTGGGACTAGGTATCAATCAATTAGGCGGGCTGGCGGGCTTGAGCTGACACATGCTCCAAAATGGTAGCAAGGGATGAATGTTGATTGGCTGCAACTCAACCACCAGCCTCGTGGGCAAAGGAGAGGCAGTCCGATATCCGAAAATGCAAATCGAACCTCAACAGGACTGTGGTACAATGGCCTCGTTCAAGCCACAGCTTTTTTGAAGGTTGTTGCATTGTCGTTGTAGATACTTGCCCAGTGATGTTGCTCTTTATTTAGTGATCGATGGTCAACCAGTCGAAAGGGGAAGTACTCAGAACGAACCACGATTTTGTATACAATAGGCCGGCTACTCCTGAGGAAAGATGGAAGTTCCAAACAGGATGTAAGATGAAGCCGCCTTGTTCATTTGACAGTAACTAGCCAAGGATGCACCTCGGCACCATCTATCCCCCAAGATTCACAGAGACATCTCTCTTGGTACCACACCCGCCAAGTGACGAGCAACACACAAAAATCAGAGGACGAAACCGAGTGACCCACTCTCCAACGCCCAAAGCAAGACCAAAATCACATTCCATATGATTTATTCTCTCAGAATTATTCCTCAACATAGCCCAACTCACAAGAAGTGCAACAAGCGTGTAAACTGAGACCTCACACACACAACAAAAAAGCTACCACTTCGAGTCCGGGATATGGAACTTCTCACAAAGTTCAATATTCTATCGGGTTTGGCGGGAGGGGCCTTCCCCCCTTGTTGGTCATGGATGGGATCATGATTTATGAGCTCGCTGTTGCCTACCTACCACCTAGGTAGATAGGGTAGCACGAGGTCTCAGACTCATAAATCATGTTCCATCCATGACCAATAACCAGATGGTATAGCTGTAAGATGCCACTGGGTTCCTCCATTCCATCATCAAATGGAAAGGGGGAATCCACTGGGAACTTGCAGCAGCAAATATCATTATGGTCCCAGTATATCATATACTGTGGAAAAAAAGGGGGAAGGTAAGATAGAAGACGCCAGACCTAGAATTGAACTTTTTGCCATTTTATGCGGCGCATGCACTATGAAATTTCACCTAGTCTGTCTTTCAATAACTGATCACTTAGCCTCCATAATCGCTCGCCCAGCTCCTCATCAGAAGCCTTGCTACTTGGATCTGTCACTTTCTTATCAGGCACGATGTACTGTCCCATAATACCTTTCTCCTCAATATCCTGACTTGTCGCTGCATACAGCGCCGACCGACACCCATCCGCAATAGGATCTTTCATGAAAGGTCTGACAAGCGTATGACCGACCACCCCTAGCTTCCCATACGCTTCTTCAGCTTGAAGTGGTTGATCAGTTGCGACAGCTCCTGGATGAACCGCATTGACATAGATTTTCTGACCTGCTTCGAACCCCAGCTGGCCATTGTCGATCCGGCGCTGGAGAGCCCGCGTGGTCAAGATCTGAGCAAGCTTGGTCCGGTTGTAGAGCTTGGTAGGTCCGATGTCCTGGTTGATCTCTGCTTCGTTCTCGAATTGCACGTTGGCGTCCGCACCGCGATGCAGCTCGGACGACTCAAAGACCACGCGAGCTCCTGGAGTATTTTGCAGTCGAGGGAGAAGCTTCATCAAAAGGAGGAACTGCGAAAGGTGATTGACCTGGAAGTGGGAATCGAGCTTGTCTTTGGTCTCGTTGTAGACTCCAACGCCCAGTCCGGCATTGAGGACGAGCTACCAGTCATTGCGTCAGTAGGGGTCCATCTCGGCATATTCTTTGATCGAGTGCCTCGCAACATACACCGTGGAGCTTGTCCTGCGAACTTGCCAACTCGTTGGCCACCTTCTGCGTGAGCTTGAGATCCTCGAGATCACACTTGACCCAGTGAGCCTTGCTCGCGTCTCCATACTCTTTTAGCTCTTCAAGGGCGGAATGAGCATGGTCCTCCTTGTTGGACAGGATAGTGACGTTTTCAGCATGATGCTGCAGGAGATGTGCGGCAATCCCAAAGCCTATCCCGGCGCTCCCTCCGGTGACGATGTAGTTCTGTCGCAAGAAATGTCAACCGGGGTCCAAAATCTATTGTTTAGGGAAGATGGATCTGGGTTATAATTCTAACCTTGCCTGACAAATCAGGAATATCTGTGTCCGGATTGAACGTGTTGGAACCCAGGATAGAAGACATTTTGCGGTGCCGTGGTTTGCTGGTAAGGAGAAGAGTGAGCTTCGTATTCCGACTAATGCGACAAGGGATCCTCATCCGGGCGCTGTGTTATAGCTTGAGAGAAGTTCGACAAGGCGTCGTGACCACATCTTGCCGTCATTATTATACTGCCAACCCTGGTAGATGTGGTTCTGGCCAAGGCGAAAAGTCATGATGACAGTGTTAAGTCATGACTTTTGGTTGATGGATACAATATCCGACAGCAGATGCACAACAGATCCGGGCCGCGCAGGCAGTACCCGCTGGTGCCCGCAAGCCCCAGGTCTTTTTAGAGAGCTGGGAGGAAACCAAACTAACCAACACTGTAAATACAATGCCTAGGCCCGCTAGGCATTGGGTGCATCAATTTTCGTGGAATCCCAGAAAGTCCCCAGCACCGCCAGGACCACCACCCTACCCTAACCCTGCCTAATAGATAGTACATGAACCTATCAACGCTATCCCACCACAGATCAGATCGAAAAGAAAATGTGCGATGCAAGAATTGACGAAAGACTCCAACTCACAGGACACAGAGCTCGAGCTCCTCCTGAATATCTCCATGGGTTTAGAGCCATTCGGTCCACACTGGTAGTGCCCATGAAAACAAGATAAATGATCTTTAGTCAAGATCGAGGTGATTTTCGAGACCTTCTTGGACGACGGAATTCTTCGCGGATGCCCTCTCCATCATCCACAATGACTGGATGCTCCGAAGAATTCGCATCAGACCGTCGAGGATTTGCTGGCTGCGTACGAGGACGAGGCTCTAGGGTTGCAGACAGAGCTGTTGGAACCCAGCTTTGGCAAAATCCGGCCCAGGGCGAGGGTGTCGATGCTGTTCCAGAGGCGCCAGACTCAGAGTCCAGGCCGAACCCTACCAATGAGGATGCTTGGCCTGATGATGTATAAGATCCAAGTCCACTCGGTGCTGGGATTGGACTCTCGTTTGCCAACAGACGGACTGATAGAGTAGCAGGGATTACAGTACTACGCGCATGATCTGTGGCATCCGAAGGCCTTTCCTGGTGCCGAGGATGGTCTGAAGAGGGGCCAGATCGAGGAGATCTGGCACCACTGGGGTCACGGGCTCGTTTGGCGAAGCTGCCGGATGAACCAGAGTTCGTCACTTTCGAGGTGTTGGCAACGAAGGATGGACGTCCCCTGTGACTAAGGACGGCTTCGAGCTCAGGGTGTGACATCAGATGTGACCGAGTCAACTGAGATGTCAGTGCAACAAATTCTTGAGCCATCGATAGCAGTTCTGCCTGCTGGGCTTGCATGTGTCTACATGCTCTTTCGATCTTCTCGCAAGTCGAAGCCGTGGATTTGGCGTGACTTGCACATAAATAACTTTGATATCGCAGTCAGGATAGACGCTTGTGTCAAAAAGGAAGGACTCGGCCAACTTACAATTGTTGAACGAGCTCGTTTGGGATTGGGCTCTTCTCAGCATTTAGTTGGTCAATCTTTTGAAGACGATGATGGCAATCCACTATCGCGATGAGCCAAGTGGCATTCGCCTTGATGGAGTTGAGCAAGACTTGGATCGGTGACCATTTCTCCTTGCGCGTGGACCACTTCCAGCGAGCATACCATTGCTCGAGAACTGAATAAACTTTGTCGGATCTCAATGGGTCCAGTCCAGTCAAGATGTCATCAATCCTAGCCAAGGCTTCTCTCCCGGATACGGAGATGTGTTGGGCTATTCCAGACGTTTTGATTTTCATGGGCAGATCGTCGTTGGCCAACCGTTCGTCAGTGACAGTGCTGTGGAAGAGGCTCAGAAGAGTGCTGAATGATTTGACCTCGTTGTGGATTTCCTTGACGTCTTTCCTGGCGAATTTCAGCGATACAAAGCAGCGGCGAAGAGTTCTGGCAAGCTCATGGAACTCCACTGCGACGGTGAGGACAGCGGAGAATGCGCCAACAACCTCCATGATAGAAACGGATCAGTCACAGTCGTGTCCACCGTGTGATACAGACGAGACAAGATGACAAGAAGGAGATGGGAAATCTTGGGGAAATCAATGTTTTGAAGTTTGCCACAACGGAAAGTCTGAACATGGTTATTCAAAAGGGTGCATTTTGATAGTGATGATAGCCACCAATCTGGAAGTTGGAAGAGGAAGCTCCATCTGCAGGCACTTAACCGGTGAGTCCTAGAGGGTCGTCTCGTTTCGAAGATGAGTCACCCACATTCTCTCAATCCTCTTCCATTGGTGGTGCGCATACTGACTACTGCATTCCAGTCCATATCCATTGGTTGATCCGACCGCGTGCAGATGCGAGAGACTGAATCGCCACAAGGAAGCTCATGGACGTGCATCGATATCGAAATGTAGAGAGGTTCGGACCGCCAAGGGTTGGAAACTCCGTTGACACCGGGAAACTGTCGCGAATTCATCCATTTTTGCAAGGTATGAACCCTGAGGCGACGTTCAGAAATGACAAAAAGTGCCTCATCCACAACTCCGAATACCGCTCTTGACCTCATTTTCAGGCCCGAATTGACCAGCTTGCAGGCGATGCCACGGTGGCAACAGTAGATAAGTGAGAATTCGCCTTGGGGGACCTTGAGCGCACCAGGGAAGGGGCGCAAGTAGTCTCAGGCTCCGACATTTGAACTATCAAGTGTCGAATTGCGCCTTGTCCACTAGTTTCCCTGACTTCCAAAGTTGACCCTTGTCAGATTGGGCGGTGCTTCGCTGAACAAAGCCACAGGGAACAAGAAGTGGTCGAGCATGACGCCAAATAAACAAACATCCAGCCTTTTGCCACTTTGATATTAATGACATATGGGGACCCAAAGTCATTAGTGCTATCGAGGCAGGCTTTCCCGGAGCGTATGCCTTACGAGGCTTAATCCACAGCCTTCCGCGAATGGAGTCTGAGGTCTAATCACTACTAGATTAGAACTGGCGCTCCGGACTGTAGCCATGGTATCGTGGCTTGTGGGGTGAGGCGAAAGCAGGCGCATTTGGAGTGATGTTTGTCGGACCCGCATGATACCCAATTGGGGTCCTTCCATACCAATCGTCATTTCACGCCCGTCGACGTGCCCAAGATCTCGAACCGAGTCTTAGCATAGAGAGAATGAACATCCCTTCTAAGCGGATCAAATTCCAGACCCTCTTCAGGAGGCAATTCTCAAGGCATGTGTAGCCAGTACGCTCTTGGCTGGACTTTCGCTCGGTGGATGAAAGAGGAGGGATGCTTTAAAAGATGTCCAAATCAAGTGTACCATCGCTGAGCCACGCACTGAAGCCAAGTCTCAATGCCACCTTGGATAGGGTCTAGGATGGAATCGTGAGTGGCACCCTTGATGATCTTGGAGCTGAAGCCCACTGTTGACGGCGAAGCCACGCTGGCCCAGCAGTCATCAAAGTGCTTCGAGCCACTCGGGCGAATCATGATGTCCTTTTCGGAATGAAGAGCGTCGATTTGAAGGTTTACTGAGCCGGCCATGCTATCGTGAAGACGTTTCTCTTGCTCGACGACGGCGTCTGCAATGGTCCGACAATCAAGCCAGTCCTTGCCTTGCGCAGTGCCGGGATCTCCAGTGGCAGTGACTGGGTACACGTGCTTTCGCAGAAATAGGATGGCATCGTCCGAGGAGCCCTCGATATCTTCAGCGAACATGTACGTGACGGCTAGCCCCTCCATTTCTGTCAGAACGTCCTTGCCCATGGTATGCTCGCCGTTCTTCTGTTCATCGACCTCGCCAGGCTTGGGGGCGACAACAGTGGCTGCTTTACTCCAAGGTCCCCTCCGAAATCCAGAGCTGAATGCAAAAGTGCGATTGACCGCTCTTGCGCACGACGAGAACTTGCCGACCGCCTGAAGCGGCAGCATTGCAGCAACCTGCATCAAACGCGCACCGCCGTCTTTCGGGTGCACCCATGGTGAGAGCAAAACGACGTGAGGGTGTTTTGGGTGCAACAATCCACGATGCGCTAGAAGTGTTGCGAACAAATATGGTGCGCCTCCAGAGTGGGAGGCCAGCGTGACATGTTTGATGCCCAAGTGACTCAACAGAGCAGGAATCGCGGCGACCTGTACCGCCACACGTTGTTCCACGGGGACCCGAGTAGAACCACCGAGGCCTGGCCTGTCCATGGAAATGATGCGGATCTTGAGCCGTCGAGCAATGCTGGCGGAGCGACAGAGCGTGTAGCGCCCACCCAAGAGGCCGCCGATGAAGAAGACGACGCATGGGTCTGGATCGGCATCATGGTCGCTGTCTGGATCGTATCCAAGGTCTGAATAGGTGATTCGCAGATCCTGCTCACCATTGGGAATCGCCGAGGCAAGTAGAGTGAATGATCTGTGTTGGCGTATATCGCATAGTGTCTCGATGGCTCGGTCACGAGCAGCGTCAAGCATCATTTGTCGAGTCCAGACAGCGATGAAAAGCTGTGTCCCGCCGGCTTTGCAAAGAGAGGAATGTTCTCGAACAAAAGGTACCTACTGTAGGTATACTTGTGGTTGTAGGGGATTTGTGATGTTGGAATGGTTGTTGCCTGGCATAAAGTTCAAGAGAAGCTACATCGCTAGGTAACTACCGAGTACTCGGTACTTTGGTGCCTTGGCTTTCCTAATATGCCGCTTTTAAAACTCTATTACCTCGTAGTAATTAGAGCCATCACTTCAGGCCCACCCAGCGTGGCCGATCTACTCGGTACAGCCTTGCCGCCAGGGCGAAACACAACGCCAAGCCATATGTTTCGCACCTGGCCAACTCTTAAAGGCAGGGGTGTATCTGACGAGTTGTTCTTTTGTTCGGTTTAATCACTGACGTCACCAGCGTTTCTCGTCGGTAAAGTATTCAGCTGTGCCAGCGTATCCAATGAAGGCTGCACAACCCCCCCTTCGACTCCTCTCGAAGTGGGGTAATCGTGCACCTTCACCTGACTGCCTACCTACTTATAACAGCATACATAGGTATTCTTCGACTCTTTTGTGATCGTGACGCCGCATCAAAACAGTAGTTCGCCAGCATGGTACCCTCACACGGATGGCACACCCTCTTCCATTTGATGCCTGGGACCCGTTGGATTACTTGAGTCCAGCAGAACTATCTCGTCTCGACGAACGGTTTGACCACGCATTACGAGATGCTCGCTGCCTGGTGTTTTGGACCGGCTTGTCCCCTGAGCTGGCCCAGCGTTGGGCCGTTGGACATGGATTACAGACACTAATCATTGCTATGGGCCCATTATATAGCGACCGCGATGTTGGAGGCGCGAGATACGGCAAGTCTACTAATGCGTGGTCCAAGTATATGAAAGGAGCTTCAGGTCGATTTGCAGAATATACGGGTCGCGGTGGCCGACAAGCAATTGTTTTGACCAAGCCACCACCAGACATTTACAGTCGGAGAGAGTGGTCCAACTATCGATGCTTAGAAGAACCGATCTTGAAAGGAGCCTTCGGGGGCGCAAGGGCTGTCCAGATCTGCTATGTCCACCCAACAATCAAGGGTGCGGTCGCTTTTCAATATCAGATCTGGCCCCTCAATAAATCCGACGAGTGGGACACGTTCTTCAGATCTCTTCTGCCTCATGATGGCAATGTTAAATTGGCGAAAAGTAAAACGATTGTTGGGATGAGTACGACACAAGAATCTCTGGCGCAAAACCAGCAAGGTATATTGCCACTGCCAAGTGAAAAGCAAGCGAAAGCCCTGGAGAAAGAGGCTCGACGAAAGAAGGCGGAACTAGAGCTACAGCAGGCTCGAGAAAGGAAAGAAGCGAATCGAAAGCGAGCGGAGGAGGCTCAGCGAAAGGAGGCGGTTCGGAAAAGGAAACTAGCGATTCGACAACAAGCGAAGGAGGCTCAGGCAAAGAAGGAAGCCCAGGCAAAGAAGGAAGCCCAGGCAAAGAAGGAAGCCCAGGCAA